CCACAGTACTTCTGGGAATATGTCCTTGTGTCAGCTAGGTAAAGTTTGGAGTCCATCAAAGTTGTTTTATTCATGAAATCAAACGAGTTCTTCTGGAAATTACTTTTGATCGCTAGCAACGAAGGGTAGGATTCAGACCAGTGACCTGGAAACGAAGGGTTATCTTTTTTGTTATCCCTCTAAGACATTCAGCCTGCTCCAGCCACCTTCTCAGAAGAAGCTGTGCGAAAGGCTGAGGAGAGAAAGGAGAAATCCTGTTAGAAAGAGTTAAGATTCTTGCACACCTACATATTCCATTACATCATGTTCACATTTAAAATGTTTATATCGTAATGGAAGTTCTGTCTTCACTTCTGTGTTTGTCGTGGAAGCTCAGCTTTAATGTTAACTATACACTGTGTAAAAGACTGATCCTTATCAAATGGAAATCACCTCCTTTTCCTAGGTGAGTAGCTAGCTGACAGGTCTCAGGATCTGTCTGTTATGTGAAGACTTTTGCACAAAATGCAACAAATTAATTTTTTCATGGAGGCTTGGGGCTTGGTCTGCTTTTCTCCTTTTGGGTTAACCCCCCTCTTATAAACATCTCTATCTCCTCATTATTTACTGTCACGTGCATTTTCTTGCATTCTTTTGCATGTTATTCAAATTCAGTAACAGTTAAACGATAAAATTAATTAAATGTAAATTAGTTTTTGGAAAAGAAAAGAGAAAAAGGTTTCGTAAAAGGCTACAGCGTGTATGTAATTTACCTCTGCAATTGAAATGGCTGCCTCGCCTCAGTGTTGTTCCCTAGGGTAAATAACAATTTGCATGTGTTTTGAGAAACTAGTAGAACTGTAGTAAGGCAGCTTTCTAGCCAATTTCTTATGACTTTTTCAAGTCCTGTGCCTATGCTGACATGCATAATTATCTGATGCTGGCTTAGGCAGCAAACGCCTCAAGAAGGTGGTGGTGGTTGTACCTGAACAACTGGGGTTCATGGGCTGGTTGTTGGGCCAATTGACACTTGCTTCTTGCTGCAGGAACCTTCTTGGTGAGATGGATGGGGTTGCTCCTCAGGCATCAGGCTCCTGGGCAAGGAAGCTCTCATTGAAACGCCCCATTTTTCACCATAAGCACCCCTGAGGCCATACCTGGTGATTTTTGGTGGAAACCACACCTTCCCATTGAGGGGAAATCAATTAGGATTGCCCTTAAATCCTGTTCAAAGCAACACGACTGTATCTTTCTGCAGTAGATGCAGCTTTTAAGTGTTTGTCCACAGCTGTGTTTTCAGAAGTTTGAACACTTTTTCCTCTTCCCAGTTTTTCTTCAGAATAGAAGTGTGCAATGAGGGCAAGTTCTAGCACTGTTGATTACCTCTCTAACCAAGGGAGGAACTGATTCCTTTTAGGACTCAGGTGCCCCTGCATTGCTGACATTAAGAGTCCCTCTCTTCTGGCCGTGGTGGCCTGTGCAGGAGCAGTTTCACCCATGCAGGGGCAGTTGCAGAGCCCATGGGAGATGCAACTCTGCCACAATCCAGTACTCACTGAAACTCCCCTTGTCTTTGGCACGTCCCTATCTCTGAAAGCAAGAATACAGGATTTTCCTGCCTGTGGCGCTCATTTCTCATTCAACCTACGTGAAATGCTTAATATCAGTGCCTCAGTTTCCCTACATATGCAATGAGGCTTAAATCCGGAATGTCACGATGACGGTGAGAAGCTCAGTTATGACACAGGCTTTTATAGTTTTCTCTGGAAGTTGTTTAAAAAATCTGAAAGCAGTTCTTTAGCTATTAACTCCTTAAAAGAGGAGTAAAAAAGTGAATCTGAGTCAGGCTTAAATATAGCCTTTGAAACATGACTGTTGTGATGATTATGTCTTCCTCACAAATCAGTGCTGTAAAATTGAAGTTTCTTTCAGAAATTGCTTGGCAATCAAAAGACCTGTGAATTCGGAAAATCTGGCAAGCTGACGGAAAGATTGAAAGAGCAGTCATCAGCAGTGTCTCCTTCAGAATGATGGCACGGGGGTGAGGAAATGGAGGGGAATGCGGATTTTAGCTCGGTTGCTTTGTAGATAATCTAATCTTGTTAGACTTGATGGGATCCAGTTACTATGCCAACATTCGTATCCACCTGTAGCTCTCGCAGAGTTAGAAAAAAGGTAGGAATTATTCCAGTGTTTTCAAGCATTTCCGATTCTGTGTAGGCTGCGGTTTCCCTGTCAAATCCAGTCGCGTTTGGACGCCAAGAAATGCCGCCCGACAGCACGTTCTGAAGGGAGGCGAGCGAATCTTGCTGTCCAAACTTTATAAAGTCATATTTATCATCCTCTTCTACTTCTCTTTTACTCTGTACCCTATAGGCGTAAGCTTGACTTGGTGACCTTCAATTTATTTTCTATCTTGTCCTGTAGCGTTAGTGTCAGTAATGTTTACATGCGGTACGGCAGAAGGGCTCTGTGGGGTGACAGCGAATATCTGGGGCAGTAATCTGAATCCCAATCAATGGAGGAAGCAGCTGGGCCAAGGGATGAAGAATAGTTTTCCTCCTCTAGCAAGTTACCCTTGTACTTAGTGTAGCTGTTTGTTCTGGGAGCACGTAGCAGCCTTTACGGAGCCTCTCGCTCCCCGGGAGAGCGTGTGCGATGGTCGCAGGTCTGCAGGCGGGTGGCACGGCGGTGCCCTGCTCCGACGCGCCGGCGACCAAGCGAACAACGTTGGTTTTGGGTCCCTCTAGGAGAGCACGTGCTAAAGAAGAGGATATACTGGTGCTAAAGCTGCAGCAAAGCAGATTGAACAGGTTAGAAGGCTGATTTGCAGCTGAGATTTTTACATGAGATGAGAAATGAAGGAGAGAGATTCCAGAACCGTGTTACAGATTACAGGAACTGCAGAGGTGACCATGGCATCCCCGTTCAACAGGGCTAGGCAGGTCGGAGAGCCCAAACAGGGAGCAAAATAGAAGACAGGTCACCAAAACAGTTTTAATTGATTCGTTTATCTCATTAAAAATAAATAAATAAACAGGACTTAATTTTGCTTGTAAATTTTTCGCATAATGTGAGTAGTAATTTGTACCTAACACATATATGTTCACATGTGCACATTTTTCTTTTTGTATATAATATACGGACACAGTTAATTCTGCAGCAGCTGAAGAATAGCCTTAATTTAACTCAAATAAAATTTTAAGTAGACATGGAAAAAAAAAAACCAAAACCCTTAAACCTTTGCTGGTGTTAGCCTGTTAAATTATCTTGTAGCTGGCTTTTTGAAATGTGCCTTAAAGCCCTGGATAGTGATTCTAATCATATGCAGTGACACACACGGTTGGTAAAGACCAAGCTGTAAAGGCAAAGGATTTTTTTATGAATGTTTTAGGGTTTTCTTTCTTGATTGATTGGTTGTTCTTTGGTGAAAACATTATGGACTATTTAAGTGCTGCCACTGTTTCAGTGCCAGATTCTGCATTATTGTCTTTTATGACAAAAGCCACATCAACCACACCAGAAAGCTGGAGAACGGGATTCTCTATAAAGAAATTATTCCAAAAATAATTTTCTGGTGAAGTTTAACATGTCTGTTCCTTAACAATTTCAAGTTTTCTGATGTTCACAATATGATAAATTATTCACTGTTATTTGTATAAGTCACCAGTAAGTTTTTGGAAGCATCTGTACTTTTCCCAGTGTTCTCTGGACCGCTGTATTGGTTTTGAAATAGTTCATCTTTATAACCAGTTACAGAGAACTATTTATGATGATGAAACAACTCCTTTGAGAAGTACACCAAAACATTTACAGCACAAGCAAAGTGCGGGCCTTGTATCCTCTGCTCTGCTAAGACTTGCATTTTGTTGCTAAGTGTGTTCTGCTACGTCTCTTCAGCAAATAGATTGCAGTGTGAATTACAGATCATCCAAGAGGGGCATTTGGTAGAAGCTCCCGCCAGAGCCCTGGTCAGCAGTGAGCAGATTATACTTGTCACTCCTCGGTTATGTGTTACAGTTCTAAGTGTCACCAGACATCTCTAAGTCGTTACCAAAAAAAAAAGGTGTCTGGAGGGTTTTGCTGCTGTGTGCTCTGCTTCTGCTGTGTGGCGAGGTTTGTCTTCTCCTGATTTGCTAACTACTGGATTTACAGGACAGATTTTTAAATCCTAACATTGCTGGAGGTGCTTTGCTGTCCTGAGGCTCTGGTTTTAAGCTTTATGGGTGTCATGTGCTTTCATTAAGCCGCAAAATATTTCCACTGTTGTTCAGATTCAAATGGCCTGACTCTCTGATCACCTGTGACTTACTCCAGAACGTAGCTACACTGCGTAGTGGGAAATTGGAAAATCTGTGCCATGTGTGTTCTAATGGATGTGACGGTCATTAAGTATATGAGTCTTCTGACGTTGTAATCAGATGTGATTCAGTCTGTTAAATATCCATGAAGCAACATCTGCTTCACAGAGTGACCTTCTGCTAAAGAATACTTAGCATCTATTAGCAGATCATAGTGCAGATCTGCCTTATTTGAAATGCACTAAACTGGAGTAGTCTACTGCTGTTTAGCAGCTAGCTTGCAATAATTTATTGCAGTTAAATAAAGCTTAAAAAACTCCATTAAATAATTATAGGGATTATATGCATTTCGAAAACCTTTGTGTTCTACTGAAATTACCCATTTAATTTCAGGGTTGGTTTGTTAAAAAAGCTGAAATCTAAAGGCACATTAGGGGATCTGTCAGATGCTGTTTTCTGTAGGTGTTAATAAAACCAGATTAAAAAAAAAAAGGAAACAAATTAAAACCAAAAGCAATTTTACCATCTGCTGTATATTAATTAGAACTTTGCGTATCAAGGGTAAACTTGCTCTTAGAGAATGTCACTGAGTGTCTGCTAATAGAATAATATGCAAATATATTAGGTGATAGGATTACGTTGAGTTCCGCGTCCTCCTTCGGCCGCGGCGTACGCCGAGGCGCTGTTCATATAACCAACCTCGGGTTTCTTTCTCCTCAGAGCAACCTCCAAATAACCAAGGCCAGTCGACGCTGCAGCCGTTGCCACCTCCTCACAAGCAGCACCCAGCCCAGCACCACCCATCCATCACCTCGCTTAACAGGAACTCCCTGACAAATAGGAGGAACCAGAGCCCGGCGCCGCCGGCTGCGCTGCCCGCCGAGCTGCAAACCACACCTGAGTCCGTCCAGCTGCAGGACAGCTGGGTCCTCGGCAGTAATGCGCCACTGGAAAGCAGGTAACGCCTCGGGGCCGCTGCAGGCTGGGGGGTGACGGGATGACGGGCACAGCCTCGTGAGGGGTGACCGGCAGCTGCTGCTTCCCGGGATTCCGTCAGCAAAGTCCAAAACTTCAGCACTTCAAGGGAAAATCCATGAGTTTGTCCCACCGTTTTCCTTTAGAAAGTGTTTTGCAAAGTAATTGGATTTAGAGAGTATCGTAATTTGTAGGACAAGTATTTTCCTTCCTGTTAGTAACATGACTGTTTACTGAAAACATTTCTTGCCTCACCTGCCAAACTATATGTGTCAAACATATCCTGCCCTGCAAATCAAGTGTCAGGGAACTTTCACTAACTCCTGTTTAACTCCGACCCTAGCCCCTGAAGAAATACCTAATTGAGGAAAGATGTTTCTAAACTTTTCTAGGCTTTCATAAGAGGGAAAGGCTCACTTAGTTCTTCTATAATGATAAATTTGTTCTTGTTCTTTCTTGTCTTTGAGAATTGATAACTCATTCTAGGAAAGAAAGCAGCTTATTTAAAGGATGACACAAGCTTCTTTGGATGCAGAATGATCTATGATACAGAATTATCTTTAAAATTATTTCATAGGACCCACTGGCAGAGAGCTGAATTTACCTAGAGTGATTAATTAATACTCCTGTAACAGTCAATCAGCACTAATTTTCTATTAGCAAAAACTGTAATAATGCAATTTAGTCATCAAACTGAACATTTATACCTATGTTAAAGCTGACAGTAGTTCTTGAAAATAGTTATGAAATCATTTAAGTGGATTCTTTGAATTCTCTTAAATTATATTTTGTGGTGGACTAACAGATAGTCAAGCTGATTTTGCCTAAGTAGTTTAAAGTCTATCTTACCTTAAGATTCTATGTTAGGCAGTTTTGTCCCTATAGATGTTTCAGGCAACACTTCTATCAATCTTTTGGGAATGGCTATTCCATTTCTTAGGGTTCATAGATCCTACTGTATTGCTTAGGAAATGTAGACACTGTGGGGCAGGATTCCAGTGCAGGGATTTCATCATCATATTCAGACAGTTTTGTAGATATCATAAGAAAAAGTTTTCTTACAGAACTATGTAGTGGGCCAGAATACACTAATAAGATGTTGGATATTTTCAGGATAGTTATTTGGTCTTCAGAAGCTGTAAGATCTTCTATGTTTTCTTCTGTTGCCGTACAGTTCTTAACGTGTTTGTCAAGAAATAGTATTTTAACAAGAATAACACTTCCATCTTGGAAGAAATAAGTTCGGCCGAATAGAGTCAACTCATCTTTTAAACGTTGCTGATGAAAAGCTAAGGGTATTTTAATGTTTGAGCTCTGAACACTTGTGCGTGAGCTGAAATGCGAAAATTGCACATGAAAACTGACACAGCCCTTCTGTCATTTCTCTAATATTCACATTTGCCTGGAACTCTTGAGGTGAAGAACCCATCTTATTTGTCATTGATTTTTCCCTTTTTAGTTAAGCTTCCCTATTGAGTGTGATTCTTGGGCTCAGTTTCAGCTATATTAACAACTCTCTACTAGGTCTCTTCCTTCATCCATTTTTCTGCCTAGAAGCCAGTTCGCTTCTTCTCTGACAATATTTTACCTTATGTCCATACTTAGTTTTCTTCTTCCTCTTCTTCTTCTTTTTTAATCTTAGGTGCCTGCTATTTTGATGTGTAGAATGTGAATGTCAGCATGTATACCTAGCCATGTTTCTGTCTCTTTAGGCTCATATTAGTGATGAGTGACATAAAAATGACATATAACTTGCTGCGCTGTAAACTGGAGAGTGAGGAGGCTGTTTTTGTGTATGTGCATGTACATGAGCAGAGTGTGTTTGGAAAATCTGGACAAGATTTCAGTACCTATCGTTTTGCAGTACTAATGTTTTGGGGCTGTTTTTTGATATATGCTTTATAAGGTTGGGTATAGTTTTATATTTAGTATGTTATGGTGTGACATGGTTCTGTGCAGAGTTAATATTTTTGTGTAAAGCATGCTGTTACTGATTAAATGGATGAACTGTGAGGTGGC